GTATTATACCAAGAAAAAAAATTAAGAAAGAGGAGGGGAAGGGAACCATAACCAAAAAAAAGTCAACAGTAAAGACCAAGACTAAAAAAGCTTTGTGAAACCAAAATTGCAGCAAACCCATAAAAGAAGTTTACTTTTCGATAATTAGCATTTATTAGGACGAGATTGTTGATTAATCATTTGATTATTTATAGTTTTAAGATCCTAAATCAAAGAAAAAACAAGAATTTCTCCCTAAGCCCACGACATTATCAGCTCTCTTCTCCTCATATCCCAACCATGCATCATCTACTTTAATTTGTATTCGTTGGACAAATCCGATTTTTATTTTTGTTCGATCTCAAGCATTTTAGGTGGCAAATGAATAATATGGGGAATTATTTAAAGAAATTTTATTATGCAAGGAAATAAAAAAAGAAAGAAACTAGAATGGTGGTAAAAGGACAATAAGGTCACATGAACTGAACCAGATTTATTCATGGGTCCCTCTAAATTGGTTCTCTTGCCCATATCTCTCCATCATTCTCATCATAACACTGCTGATTTCTCTCTTCTTGTTTTCTCATTCTTCTTCTGAAAAATCTTGACAACTTTTTTTTTGTTTTTGTTTTCTTTCTCTGGATTTAAAAGAGCTATAGCTATTGCTTGAAACAGTAAGAGATATAGATATAGAGAGACAGAGAAAGATGATGATCAGTGAAGTTAGGCTAAACCCACTTTCTATTTATGTATAATTAGGTCAATCACATCACCAATCTAACCTTTTCTCCTCCTCCAATTCTCTTCCTAAATCTAGGGTTTTGCTTGTATCTCCTCCTTTCTCAATTCCCTCCGGAAGCTGTGAATTCATCAAATTCCATTCTCAAAACCAATTCTTGGTCACACCCTTAAGAGATCTGGGTTCTAAAGATGATGACAGATTTATCTCTCACAAGAGATGAAGATGAAGAAGAAGAAGCAAAGCCCTTAGAAGAAGAAGGAGCAGGAACGAGAGAAGTAGCAGAGAGAGAGCACATGTTCGACAAAGTTGTGACTCCAAGTGATGTCGGAAAACTAAACCGACTTGTGATCCCAAAGCAACACGCAGAGAGATTCTTCCCTTTAGATTCATCTTCTAACGAGAAAGGTTTGCTTTTAAACTTCGAAGATCTCACAGGCAAATCATGGAGGTTCCGTTACTCTTACTGGAACAGTAGTCAAAGCTATGTCATGACTAAAGGTTGGAGCAGATTCGTTAAAGACAAAAAGCTTGACGCCGGAGATATTGTCTCTTTTCAAAGATGTGTCGGAGATTCAGGAAGAGATAGTCGTTTGTTTATTGATTGGAGGAGACGACCTAAAGTCCCTGACCATCCTCATTTCGCCGCCGGAGCTATGTTCCCTAGGTTTTACAGCTTTCCTTCGACGAGTTACAATCTGTATAATCATCAGCAGCAACGTCATCATCACGGCGGTGGTTATAATTACCATCAAATTCCGAGAGAATTTGGTTATGGTTACTTCGTTAGGTCAGTGGATCAGAGGAATAATCCGGCGGCTGCGGTGGCTGATCCGTTGGTGATCGAATCTGTGCCGGTGATGATGCACGGAAGAGCTAATCAGGAACTTGTTGGAACGGCCGGGAAGAGACTGAGGCTTTTTGGAGTTGACATGGAATGCGGCGAGAGCGGAATGACCAACAGTACGGAGGAGGAATCATCATCTTCCGGTGGAAGTTTACCACGTGGCGGTGGTGGTGGTGGTGCTTCGTCTTCCTCTTTCTTTCAGCTGAGACTTGGGAGTAGCAGTGAAGATGACCACTTCACTAAGAAAGGAAAGTCTTCATTGTCTTTTGATTTGGATCAATAATAATTATGATGAAATATTAGTTGGTATTTTAAGAAAAAATAATACACATATATAATTCTATATATATGACAACATAATGCATTGATTTCATTATAAATTTATCAAGGAAATGATATACAGTATGTTCTAATAATATGCATGGTTAATAGAAAACCGATATAGTCTTTTGTTATGTGTTCTTGAAAATGTTGATTATGTATATAGATGAAGTAGTACTTCTAGCATTTGTACGTCTTTTTTTCCATTGCTATCAGTTATATACCAATGGATCAAATTATTATTTACATTTGGCAAAACAGATCAAAGATTAAGTAAGAAGATTGTAAGTCTGTATATAGAGTAGGAAAAAATGGGTACAAATAAGTGAGATATTATAAGAAGAGACATGAACTAGGATTGGGATCAGTGTAAACCCATGTCTCTCTTGTATGTCTCTGTGGTCAGAAAGTTTCAGAGTTTGATGGGCTGTCTTAGAAAAGTGAATTGTCTCTATATATATATATGTATGTGTGTTTGCATTTTGTAATTATATGTATATATGTAGGTCATTAATTATTGTCCCTGCAATTAATTTGGTGATGGGTTTCTATGTTTGGTTACTAAATATGGCTGCTGCTGCTGCTTTTTCTCTGAAGCTATTGCTGGATATTAGTTAGGCAGAGTTGCAGGAGATGGGCAGTGACAAAACAATAATTAAAAATCTTGTTTCTTTATATCATTGTGATGTCTATATTAGCAAAAAGAGAAGAGCTTCGTTCTTTTCTTTTTTTTCTTGGGGCGATTGAAAAAGGTATGATCTGTTTTCACATATATTTTCTGATGCATTAGTTAAATTATGAGACCCTATATTAACAAAAGCTGAAGGCTATAAAATTACGAAAATTTAAAAATCAATTTTATTTTGTGGTCAGTTATGCTTTGTGTTTTGGGTTTCTCTTTGCGTCTCTTGGTCTGAGCCCTGAAGTATTATTACACAATACATATACATTGCAGAGACACATTTAATGTAAATAATATTATGTTTATACACATAGGTTATTACATGCATGTGATGATGATATGTAGATCGTATACAAGTAACTAGTATGATTTAATTATCACATTTGTGTACTATATAGCTAGCATCTAGTTATAGTTATATGATCTGGTTAAGCATTACTCATATGATGGTTATGGTTTTGTTATAATTTTATAACCGCATAAGTTAATCTCAAATTTATATTTAGGGTTTATGCATAGAGTATAGCTAACTCATCTCATACTAAAGGTTTGCAAATGAATTTTGGTGAAGTTTCAAGATGCATACGTCCTATATATACGTCCATAGCTAACATATAAGTTTTTAAAGTCGTGATATTAATCTATTATCATCAAACACATGTTTCCATGCATAAGTCGTATTTGAATGATTTTCAATTTTAGTTGTACCAGAGATTGCCATTTATTATAGTACATATTGTTACTTTAAGAAAAATCATTGAAAGATTACAGTTACGCATCTACTGAAGTTTCATTTTAGCGAGTGTATAAAAACAATAATTATATAGTTTTTTACGTTTTGTCATTTCAATAAACACTGATTAAGCTATAGATTTTTTGAGAGATTTGATTTGCAAATACTTCTATTACTTTTACAAATGAATCACGTTGGTTAAGTTGTTTGTAATTCTCAGTTTTCATCGATCCTTAATAAAAAATAAACCCTGAATAATTTGTTGTGATATTAAGTTTCACGAAAAAATTCTGGTAGAGTAGTAGTACATTTGAATAGATTCTGTGTTCACGAATTTTTTGAAAATATTCATAAAATGGCAATTTATGAAATTTCTCTAAAATTTTAGATTAGTCTAGCAAGATAGATACTTAGATCTGACCAAAAAAAAAAAGATAGATACATTAGAAAAAATAAAAATCTAGGATATAGCAAGATAGATACTTAGATCTGACCAAAAATAAAAAGATAGATACATTAGAAAAAATTAATCATGCTTAAGATTGGCTTTTGTACTCTCTTAAAAATCTAGGATATATATAAACGTTAATTATCAAATTTGGTGATTTATTTTTTCGTAATTCCTGGATTTGTTTCAATTTGATTTGGTGGATTATATAAACCGTAAGATGACTTCATATCTCAAGAGATCGATGTGAATGAGAATTTTAGAAATTAACTAGAGAAAACGTTATATTGAAATGACGTGACAACTGAAAACCCTAGTTAGAGGAGAGGATTGGGGATTTTCTCGACTCTGTTGGCGGCAAAAATCCCAGACAAAAACAACACACAATCTTTGATTGAAACATTCAAACGTCACGGCGTTTCAACGAGACAAAGTAAAGTATTATCCAAGTTTGACTTTGACCTCTGCGATTTCAGTATTCTAATATTGCTCACTCAGTCCCTACATTATAAACTCTTTATAAACATTTCCAGCGATTATTAAATTTACCAAGTCGAACCAATTTGACTCAAGTCATAAAATTAAAACTAATGTAACAAAGCAGAAAACTATAAGCTGAATGGTCTTCTTTTTTATTCTAGACAAAATAATAGATGGTAAATCATAAATAAAGAAAATGAAACATATCAAATCATTGTACAAGTACTCAGATTCATGATTAGTGTTGTGGTATAGTAGAGCAAGTAAACCCAAAATTTGGTTCAAGAGCTGCAATAAAACAAAAAGTAAGATCAGAACACCACTCCAAATGTTCAAGTTAATTTAAATTTGATATTGCTTACTTGTGTTCTTGGACCAAAGAAGTTGAGTATCAATTAAAGAATGATTCTTATCATCGAGCCGTTTCCAAGTTTTGATTGTAGCAACAGCTCCCCAACGTCCATACTTAGTCTTCTCAAGCTGAGCCTCAACTACTCTTGCTCTCCTTGCCCAACCAACCTTTCCATACCCATGATACCTAAAACCATTAAAACAAATTAACGTGTGTTACAAGTAAGGGTTTAATGAGTAAAACAGCGTGAAGTACAAGTTACCCGGCACCGCCTGCGTAACAAAGGTTGATCCCATGGAGTTCGGCACAGAAGTCGTTGACGTGGTCGTGACCGCTGAAAACACCCTTGACTTCACCTCTTTCGACAAGTTTGGTGAAGAAACCAGAGTTGATAGGTGGAGAACATGTAGATTCTTGTCTAACTCCAGTCATCTCGGTCGATTTGTTGAACAATGCAAATTCCGGCATTGGAATGTGGAGGTAAACCAATCCCGGTGCCGTACTATTCTGTGGAAATGGCCACCTCTTGTGTTCCATCTCAAGCCATTTAGAAGTGTGTTCATACCAATTCTGTTGAGAGGTTCTGACCCAATCATATTTGTAACCAAAGCCATCGAGCTTGGTGTAAGCTCCACCGTCGAGTAGATAGAGATTGAGAATGGATTTGAAGAAGAGAGGCGAGCCAAAAGGACCCTCGATTTGTAGATTGTAATTACCAAAACCGTCGATTTGGTATAGCCAAGCATCGGGAGGGTTTACTTGAGACAACGAGTTTGGGAGTTTCATGATGTATTTCATCATTGTTTCTCTAGTCATGTCGGATTCTTGGTCGTGATTCCCCAAAATGGCCACCCATGGAATCCCCGATTCGATGGCAGGAGCAAATGCCATGTCCATCGATTTTGCCACGTCTCTTGTCTCGCACAATCCATATACATTGTCTCCTGCATTGTTTTAGGGTTTTTTTTCCACGCATAAAAACACACAATTATTGTAATACAAGAGTAAAACCCTACACGCATAAAATTGTGTATATTATTTGAAGAATTTGGTACCAGAGAAGACGATGAGATCGGGCTTCTCGGAAGCGATAGTTCGCTTTAAAAAGGAGGTGGTGTTGAGATCGGAGCAGTAAGGAAATTCTGCAGGTGATACGTCTGAGCATTGCGTCTCTTTGCCAAAACCGTAGTGCATATCTGACACTTGCAGTATCTTGAACCGACCATCTGTATTAAACCGGAGCTGCCTTCTACCGAAGCCGTAGGCGGAAACGTGACATGTTGAAAGACATAAGTAGATCAAAGAAACACTTAGAACAGAGAATAAAACAAATCTCCTCCAAGCTTCCTCCATTCTTTTAGGTTAGTGACTATGAAAACTGGAGATGAGAACGAGAATAATGTGTTTTTTTTTTTTTTTTTTTTTTTGGTTATGTTGCACCCTGTTTTTATAGCATTTTTCGATTTGATTTTTTCCCAAAGATAAAATAGCATCAACTATATTTTATTCTAATGGTATATTCTACAATTTTATCAAGTATCTAACCATTTTGGCATATGCTTTTGATTTGTTGTTGACGAATATACATCAAATGAGAAAAACACCCTTCTTTTTTTTTTTGTGATTTTCTGAAACAAAATCAATTCATTTCTAGATAAAATAACTATGAATTTTAAAAACACTTATTAACACGACGACGACGAGCCCAAATAGACGGAAGAAAAACCCATTATAATGCAAATTTACACAGACCAAAGAAAACATCCCCAAGGAAACAAAGTGAGAGGAAAAAACACCAAAACAATGCTCATAATACACAATTAAGGATCTCTAGAAACCCTATTGAAACAAACTAATCACAGCTTCCTCAAGTGTTCTTGTCTTTAGTAGCAGCAACATGAGATTTGAACCATGGAATCCACACCGAAGTTGTCTTCTGATATGCTCTATAAGCTTCAGCTCTGTATTGTTGTTTCACCATCCGACGCTCGACAAGAATTGTTACATAGACCAAACACAGAGTATTGACCAATGCACCTATCAAAGTCCATCCTTGACCAAGGTTCCAAGCAAATATGACCAATCCCCACCACCACAATTGCTCTCCCAAGTAATTAGGATGTCTTGAGTAATGCCACAAACCCGTGTCGAGATTGGGGATCTTAGGCTTTCCTTGCTCCTTGAGTTTTTGGTTTCCGGTTACAAACTCGTGAAGCTGTGTGTCTGCGTAGTATGCCATGACGATTCCCGTCAAACAGATAGCCGAGGAAATGAAGTCCCAGATGTTTAGTGGCGCATCAACGGAATGGATGACATATAAGGGCAGACATATCCCAATGAGGAAGATCTGAGTAAATTTTGGAAAAAGAAGCCTAATGAGAAACAGAAAGCATATAAGCTAAGCAGCAAATATATACAGATTACTGGAAATTGTGGCTTCAAGGCTTTAACCAAAAGCATCTAATTTTCTCTAAATTGTCCTCATAAAGGCAGATACGTTATATGGCTAGATGAAAAACAAGCTCTTTGAAGCAATTCATCGAACAGGTGGTAGACATGTTACCTGCTGAGAAACGTAGACAGAGAAGAAGGAGAGCCACCACCAGTGTTTCCCGTACTGTTTCCGTAAGTCGTTGAACCTCCAGTCTTCTCTAGCGCCCCATTCCCAATTTTCCCGCCGGAAGTAGTTATGAGTCAACCTAATGCTCCAAATCCATGTCAGAGTTACGACAATCATGGATCTCAACTTATTGTACTGTGCCAATGGATGCGAAGCGAAGTAATGAACCAGCATTACAGGTATCACAGTCCAATACACATCGATCATCTGCAAATTTTTTTAAAAAAAAACTGAAGATTGAGAAAGAGATCATTTTTAACAAATGGGTAACATTTTTAGAGATTATGGATGCGTACCCAGTGGCTGGATTGGAGTAAACCGATGACCCAGAAGAGCACATTGACGTTTAAGAAGAAGAGAAGGTTTGCTAATAGAAGGGGATGATTCAAACACCATGAATGAATGAAAGAGAGCTCTGAATCTGAGGCTGGAGAGTGATTACGGAGAAATGTGAGGTAGAAGACGATAGAAGGAAGTGGAGCAAGGAATGCAATAATGGCGTTTCTAAGATTCCGATTCATTTTCTCTCGAATAAGTCGTTGATGTTGGCCTGTGGGAATTAAGGAGAAAGAGAATGCAATTTATAATCGCTTTGGTCTTTTGGGTTGTGTTATTTGTCGCGTGTATGGGCCCATATTGGCCCACTTTGATCACTGATATGATTAGAGTCTTCTGTTTAATTATACTTTTGGTGAAAATTAAAATATAATCAACTGTAGATAAAGGGGTTAGCTTTTTGTAAAAGAGCCGAAAATGTCAGTAATGAAGATAATAATTGGACTATGATTTTGTATCGTAATGATGATGGGTATAAAATATATACATTAATCTATATAAATTCAAAAATTATAAAGGAAAGTGGTTAAGCAGAAATAGGGACTAGTGATTATCAAATTTCAGAGCATGGGAAGAGGGAATCACAATAAAAGTGAATTTCGTGATTAGTTTACTTTTTGAAGTAAAAGTGAAGATATCACTAAAGAGATTAGTAGCGGTGCTCGTGGTGGCTCTAATTATTAGCTTAGCCGAAAGCATTGGATTCTAATTTAATCAGATTCTCCCATATCATATTAACCAACTTTTTATGCGGTCCAAATTCCAACTTTAATATAGTAAATTTATGCGTCCAGTTGTGAAAAATGAAAACGACGTCGATTGATGTGAAAAAGGGATTAAACAAACGATGTCGTTTCTTTCTTCCGCATCTCTGTTCGTTTTCTATCTCTCCCGGTATAGCAATCTACCATTATACCGGTTACAATGTACCGGTTAAGTATAAACCGGAAAGATTCCTTCTCCTCCTAAGGTCGAGAGAAGCGAGGGATTAGCGTGTGTATCGACGAGATATCATCTAGTCGGAGTCGCCGCCTTTCTCCGCCGTCTTGAATCGTCCTTGTTGGATTTTCCGAAGACGAAGCAGGAGTAAACATGTCTGGGAGGTTGCTGAAGAAGGTTCTCCAGGAACACGAAGAATCGAAACTCCAGAAACATCACGAAGAAGAAGAAGAAGATGAAGAAGAGGAAGAAGAAGAAGAATCAGGAGCCCGTTCTTCGATTAATCCATTCGATCTCTTGAACGACGGTGATGAAGATCCTGAGGTAGCTTCTAGATTTCACCTCTGATGATTAGATTGTTTGGTAGCTTATAGTATCTGGAATTTCATCCGCTTAGGTGTTTTAAGATAGCTAATGTCTCTGTGTTAATAAGTTTGAATGCAGATAGTGTGAATAGGTCGATCTTTAGATGTTTATGGTTTTTGTTTCTGATGTCTAGAGCTGATTCATGTTTTGTTGGTGGTAGGAGTAATGATTACAAAGTGTTTCTGTAACAATTGGGTTTGATTGCAGGAGATAGAGGTTGATGATGAGACTATAGTTGAGAAGAAGAACGAAGATGCGGATCATCAGTCAAAGAATGTTGATAATGTGCAGCCGGCGTCAAAGAATAAGTCGAAGAAAAAGAAAAAGAAGAAAAACAAAGAGAGTGCTTCTAATGTGGCTAAAGCTGAAATCACTTTGGATGAAACTTTGGAAGCACTTGGTCTCAATGCTAACTCTAAGCAAGATAAGGTTCAGGAGACAAAAGCAAATGCTGATTCTTCCAAAAAGGCTTCTTCACGATTTGTGTTGGAAGTAGATCCCAAGTATCTGAATCTTGAGAACGAGTTGAGGAGAATGTATGGTTCAAAGGCTATGAGATCATTTGAGAGTGAGAGTGGCTCTCAAGGTGGTAGTAGCTCTAGACAAGGACGAGGGGGTAGACGTGGAGTCCATCATATCACAAAGACGGTTCTGATATCTCCAAAGGAGAATTGGTCTCGCTGGGATAGATCTTTCTCAATGGAGTTTCTAGAGACTAAAGATGGTAACAACTACTTTAGGTAACAATTTGTACCGTTTTTTGTTTTTTTGTGGGTGTGTGTATAGAAATATAGACATTGAACTTTGTATATCTGATGAAATACTTTTCTTTTGATGTGTAGATATACACATTCATCCTCATATGAGCAGGCTCAGAGGGCATTTCGGGCTGCACAGGCTATCCATGATTTGAATGGTGTAGCAAGTGTCCTTATACACCATCCTTACCATATTGAGTCGCTCATAACTATGGCAGACTACTTTAAGTTTGTTGGTGAGCATGATATGGCTGCAGATTCCATTGGAAAGTGCTTGTACGGATTGGAGCGTGCATGGCATCCTATGTTCACTCCGTTCCAGGGTAATTGCCGGTTGGAGTTTACCCACGAGACAAACAAGCTGTTCTTCAAGACGCTTTTCACTCACATGAGAAACATGGACAGGCGTGGCTGTCATAGGTCAGCGTTGGAGGTCTGCAAATTCTTGCTTTCGTTGGACATGAGTGATCCAGTAGGCGCTTTGTTTTGTGTGGACTACTTTGCTTTGAGAGCAGAGGAGTATGCGTGGCTGGAGCAATTCTCGGAGGAGTACCGCAATGACAACTCATTATGGCTCTTCCCTAATTTCTCTTATTCGCTTGCTATAGCCCGAGTTTATCTCGAGAAGATGGAGTCTTCCTCTTCATCAGAAGCCACTCACGTAGATACTTCGAAGTCAAGCTCTTTGGATCTCATGACACAAGCTTTGAAGCTTCATCCAACAGTACTCAAGAAGCTAGTGGACAAGGTACCCTTAAAAGATCAGGCATGGACAAAGATACTCAAGCATTCTTACTTCCGATCAGATGAATCAAAGATCCCATCCTTGGATCACCTTATTAACTTATATGTCGAAAGGAATTACCTTATATGGAGGCTTCCAGATGTACAGAAGTTGCTTCGGAGTGCTGCTGATTTAGTCATTGAGTCACTGGAACAAAACGGAACCGAAGCCGAGAGCTGGCTTTGTGTAAGGAAAGAAGCCTTCTCTGCTGAGAATAACCAGTAAGCGTTTTGAACTCTCAATTGTCAATTTTATTTTTTTGGCTAGAGCTGATCACGTATGGTTCTAACCCGTTGCAGGTACTCTCATTTATCAACACATGATTTCTCTGATTCGATGCCAACTCTCCCACCAGACAATTTACAGAACTTTGTGGCTGATCCAAGAATGGTGGGAGGAGAGCAAATGGCTGGAGGCGGCGGGGGAGGTCAACAAGAAGCACCACCACGTCCACGTGATGTGGCAAATCGGAATCCATTTGCTGTGTTGTTTGAGTCAATACTTCCATGGGCTAATTTTGGAGATGAAGACGATGAGATTGCACGTGATGGTCACCACCAACCAGACAACAATGGCTAAATCAATGGCTCTAACTGAAGAAAGACGAAAACTGCTACAAATTTTACAAAATGTGGCCTTGCTTTTGTTGTACAGTGCCATTTTGATGGTTTAGTCTAAGGACTCGTGAAATTTGATACTTTGGGTAAATCGGATTTAGTCATTTTCAATTCATGTTTCTGGTGGAATAATTGACAGCTTTCATTGCCCAAAGGCTCGGTTTGGGTTGAGCCGGTTCACAATGTCAGGTCAAAATACGGCCACGTATTAATGTCGATTTCGTGCGATGAGTTATTTATCTTTAAAATAATAAATGTACAGTATTGAGTAATTACAGAAAATAAAGCTGTCCCTTCTTCCTCAGTTCTCAGGTATCGAGTAGCTAGCTTCTGAGCTTCGAAGGTATCGACTAAATATTTTTTCCTTTTTCTCGTAGACATTATTACTCTCAGGAATAAAAGATTTGAAATTTCGGAGAAAAAAATCTGATTTTTTTATGGGACAAGACAACTCGGTAACTCTTGGATAAGCTTTTATCCATCGGGTGGTGATTGTTCGAAAATGGATCGAATTGCGTCTGCGACCTTCTCTTGCCCTGCGATTTCAATGCCTCGCGTCTGTAGAGTCAACCCTTTTGGCTTAAACATTAACACCAATCATAGAAAGAGATTCTCGTGTCCTATAGCTGTAGCTTCTGGAGAGACGACGGCTCGGGTTTGTTCTCTGCACATTTTTGTTCTTTTGCTCGTCTGAAACAAATGATTTGAGTATGTTTTGGTGATCACTCAGGTCGTAGACAATGAACTTGACTTAGAACACAAGAAACACGATTTACTGAGAGCTGTTCAAGACACTCAACGAGGACTCACTGCCACTTCTGATCAACGATCTATCATCGAGGAGGCTCTGGTACAGTCATTGCCTTGGATACTGTTGTTTATTATATTGAGTGAAAGCTGCTTTTTGTTTTATTTTATGAGTCTGGATTTGGTAGAAACTTTTCAGGTGACTGTGGAAGGGTTTAATGGCGGTGAAGAAATCGATCTAGTGAAGTTAGATGGAACATGGAGGCTACAATATACATCTGCACCTGATGTTGTTGTTCTATTTGAAGCTGCTTCAAGACTTCCCTTCTTTCAGGTACTACTACCAATGATAATGAACAAAGCAGAGAGAGACTTTAGTTTGGGCTTCGGTTTAATCCTTTGTGGGTTTTGATCAGGTGGGGCAGGTCTTCCAGAAGTTTGAGTGCAGAGATCGATCAGACGGTGGGATCATTCGGAATGTTGTTCAGTGGAGTCTTCCAAGCTTGTTGGAGGTTTTTGCTTCTCTGCTTGTAACCCTTTCGATTTCATATATGTCCAAACAGTTACTGTAAATGATCCTTGGCAGGAGCAAGAAGGTGCAACACTTGTTGTTACCGCGAAATTCGATAAGGTCTGTAGTCGAAACATCTACCTTCAGTTTGAAGAGGTCAGTTAATTGTCTGCCTTTTCAGAGCTTTCAGAACTTTGTTTTGCCAGAAGCAATCTGATTTTAGTTCCATGGAATCCTAGCAGATAAGTGTTAGAAACATTAACATCAATGAGCAGCTTCAAGCTCTTATCGCACCTGCAATACTTCCTCGCTCATTTCTAAGCCTACAGGTGAAAAAAAAAAAAACACTTTCTAGTACTAATGCATGGAAACCAAGACGAACAAGCTAATAACTCGTTACTGGTTTTCCAGCTTTTGCAGTTTATCCGTACTTTCAAAGCTCAGATTCCAGTAACCGCAACCAGCCCAGGAAGGTAAACAATGATCTTTTGTTTATTTTTCATAACCTATGTTTTAAGATATGACTATGGATGCTAAAGATGTTTCTCTATTACAGGAGATCTGTAGGTGGACTGTATTACCTGTCGTATCTCGATAATAACATGCTTTTGGGTCGGTCTGTAGGAGGAGGAGGAGTATTTGTCTTTACAAAATCTCAACCCCTCGAGCTGTGAGAATCAGACAAATCTATAAAACTCTGTTTTTAACTGTATATCACAGAAAAAAGAAGAACACTATGTTAGCAGATTCTGTTTATGTACTGAAGATCTTGTACAATATAGCAAAAATGTTACTAGGTTGCTTCTTTCAAACACAGACTGTATTCAAACAAGCAGACTGCTCCATAGTTCTTTAAGAGAAATATAAGCCTGAGGACAAGGAACAGCCTGTAGCTTGGTGTTGCTATCGACCAGTGTCTCTGTTACTAGACCAAGTCTCACCAACGTGCTTATAGCTTTTTCTACTCGCATCTCAACCTGTTAGTGGATTTTAGTGAGTCAGCAACAAGGTCTAATAATGTTGCTATAAGAGTTCAATTTTAAACAGACCTTTATTTTGAAAGTGTCATACATGAATCTCTCGCATCTATCGCGAACTCCTTGATAAGACATATTCTGCAGGCAAATAGTTTATTCATAAGCATCTACGATAAAGCTTGAAGTTGAACTATCCTAATGAGGCATGGCATTAAGAGAAAAGAGTGACTGGTTATCTCTTTTTTTTTTTTTTTTTTTTGTGAACAGTGACTGGTTATCTCTAACCTGATTTTTTCCTGCTTGAAGAATAATTGCATATGTCAATATTGCCTCCTTGTACTGCAGATAATGAGTGATTGGAGAACAAAACTATATTCAGCAAAGATATTCCATATGAAATCGTTCATTCAAATTTCCAAAGGAATAAGAAAGGGAGAAATGAATGAGATCTTGCCTGTTGCTGCTCCGAGGCATCCAAAAGGAAATGGACAGAACCAAAGCCACTGGCTAAGGTTTTCTCAAAAAGTGTCTTGTTTACTAACAACTGAGGAAGTAGATCAAATGCAAGGGAAATTTTCAAAATTAAACACTGACCCATTATAGTAAAGAGAGTATGAATCTGAGTTTCAGCTCACTTGATATCTATCCCATGTCTGCTTGTAACCCAAAACCACGCGTGTTGCATATATTAACAGAGCTGTGATGGCGATCACGTCAAGAAAGAATGCTGATCTGTGTAGCAAAGGACTAATCTTAATTCTTTGTTTCTGTAAGCGGCACAAAAGGAAGAGGATAAGAGATATACGGGGATGATGAGATGTTCTCAAACTTGTAGTTTACAAAGTATGCCGTAAGTCCCAAAATACTAGCTATATCCAAACGTACCTAACAAAAGATTCCAAGGATTGGGTCAACAAAGATAAGATCAACAAAATTGAGTCTGTAATGCAACCACACTTACTGTATCTATGATGCGAAAGTAAAGCTTCTTGTGGGGGAAAATTACCTACATACAACAGTGAAAGAAAAAATGGTGGTTAAAACTACAGGGAAAAGCTCACTGGCAGAAAAGAAACATGAGGAGACACTCATGATGTCGATGTAATATTCTTACAGGTAAATCTGGAATTGGAATTCTTTCAAATATCTCCAATTGTAATGATGATCGTGTTTCATCTTTATTCTTATCATCTTTTTCACTTGCATCCTTCGTGTAAAGCAAAATTAGTTCTTCAAATGCAGGCTCCTATTCACCAAAAGGCATAAACAAACAGAGTCATCTAATGAATGTGATCATGTGGCCATAACTTATGATTCATTCATATAAAGAAGTTTGACAGTGCACTACAGACTGAAAGAAATGCTATTATTTGCGTAGAAAAAAAAGAATACCTGCAGAGTTGAAGGTGATAAAAGAATGGAAATCGAAGTTTTTATTCTTTTCCAGACATCATTTCCACAAGCTTTCTTTGAAGCAGGTTTCCATATATCAGCCAGTGTCATCCTTGATAAGAAAATCGGCCTGAGTGAAGAATAATTTACTTCTTAGCTCAAATCTCTAATCAGGTCGAAGATTTAGAAAAAAATGATGCAATTAATATTGTGTTTCATTTAATGGTTCAAACAAGTGATACAAACACATTTAGGAACTTTCAGACTTGATTTTACTAAGTGAACATACAGGTTCATTCGCGCAATCAAATCCATGAAAAACATATCTAATATTGACATAGAAGAGATTTTTCACATTCATCAAATAGAGACCAAAAAAAAATGTCAAGATGACTGAGAAAAAAGGTCACTCACCTTAAATAAGGTTCAGATGCATTACTGTCATTAGCTAGCTCAGATGGTGTTTCATAATCAGGAGAAATGAAACCAATCCAACCAAGCAACTTTCTGAAGAGCTTTGCGCGAGGACCAACAGGTGTCAGAAGCCCCTCATACCGACTGACCGCCCTTTGTGCTGCTAACCGCATGGGGAGGACTGAATCTGGAAGGAACCCCTCTTTCAAGAAATTATCAGAAGTTTGGTCAAGATATGATTCCTTAAAAAGGGATAGGTCCTTGAGCCAAACTTTCATTCTCTCTGATAAATCTTGAATTTCTTGAGTTTGAGAAGCCTCACGTAAAGCCTGTTTATGAAATTTGAAGAAAAAATGTTATTCAAGTTTAAAAATTAACACAGCTCAAAGGTTTTTGAAATAGTAACACTGCATACAATAAATGCAAAAAATTTCCCATGGTCATATAACATAATAGGAGTCATACCTTGTTTATCAATTTTCCAACTTTTCTCAAGGGTTTTGCAATAGTAGAGAAGATTCCTTGTAGAACTTTAGACTGGATATAGTCTAGCTTCTCCACAAGTAACAAACCCTTCTCCTTCTCAGTTGCAAATCCACGCCTGTAAAGAAGATGAAATTCATAAGCAGATTCTCCATACAGAACTAGATAGCACATTGGCAAGACAGAACAAGAAGTAGATAGCACAGTTTTAGAAACGCATCAAAAGATATAACATTTACCTGAAAACAATAGCATTAGACTCTGATGCCTTCTTCCAATCAACGTATACAGGCAAAGTAAGAAGGTAATCCGTGTTCAGAGCCGATGTCAATGCCAAATCCCTAGCTGAAAGCTCTTCAAAACCGGCATTGTCTAGGAGCTGAATGAAAGAACGCTGGAACCGGGTTGCAGCCATTACACTGCATTCGAGTATTGTCAAGTTACATTCAGATTTTCAAAAACCACTCTCAAATCTTCTACCAATGAAAGTACATGTTTTACTTCAAAATTCGCCAAAAATACAGGATAATTTCTAATACCTTTCAGCAGAACGTTTCTTTGCATCTTTGCCAGAGGATATTAAAAAGTTCCAAATGTCGAAACCATCAGCCAAAGGGAATGATAAACCATCGTATCCATTAACACTCCTAGGTTCAGAGTTCTTGACATTCGAGTTAAGTTCCTCCTCTGAGTCAGTTTCTCCACCTGAAGTAGAACTTTCTTCGTCATCCGATGAATCACCACCAGTCTTTACCTCCTCCAGGGACTGAGTAGCGACGAAATCAGCTCTCATTTGCTCTAAAATCCTCTTGTGCTCCGCGTGAAGGATAGAGTCTAAGCACCTAAAAGAGTTCCAAAAACAGCTCAAGAGAGAGTCCAAGATGCAATTCGTGTTAGTTTAGGAGTTATATATATTCAGCTTACGAGGAAAGGAGGATGAAGATATCAGTGTCTCCGTCTTGAGAATCGAGGAGCTTCGTTACAATACCATTAACGAGATCAGACTTGGAGAGATTGATGTATTTCTCACGAGGAACATGAATACTCGAAATCCCCTCCTCCTCCTCCTCCGAATCGTCATCTTCTACTCCTCCTTCACGTCCATCTTCCGCCGGGGGAAGCTCGTCTTCCACCTTCCAGCCACCGCCGTTTTTAAGCTCAGTTAAGCTGCCAATCGCTCGTTCCGATTCTCCGGAGACCACACCAAGAGGTGCAAAAGTTGCCGCATCCGTAAGTCGACAACGAACAAAACGACGACGCAAAGACGGCGATAACGGCTTAGATCGAGATGGAAGAGCGACGAAGCTAGTAGTGAGGTTTCGAAGAGATAACATAATGGATCTGAATCTTTAGCTGAAACGAGAGATTCAGAACACATTTGTAGAAGATTCGTGACCATTTGCCGGAAAATTGGATTTTGATTTGCTCCGCCCAGAAAAAATCGAATAAAGACGAAATTGTGAATTAACGGCTCAAAACGACTCAGACGCGTGCGTTGACTCTTTAGGTGAGAAGACCTTCTAGCTCATCCAGAGGATTCTGATTTTAGTTGATTAATGCTTTGATTGTATCTGAGTCAATAACTAGCTAGCTTTAATATCATGATCCATTTTGGATTGGGAAGAAAGAAAAATACAATTAGGCCCTTTTTTTTTTTACTTCAGGGAAATTGAAAGATTGTTTGAAAACAATAAGGCAATTACGGGACACCCTAATTTTTTTTTTTTTGGTTGTGTTTGGTTAATTCATCTATTGAATTTTTGTTTTCTCTCTGGATAATATTGTCCAGACGAACGCCAAATCCTTCCTTCAAGTGACACAACCATGACAGAGACATCATCATGGTACTTCCTTCGATCTCCTTGCGGAATATCCAACAGATCATGAAACTCCATCCCTGCCAACATGTTGGTTTCATTTACACATTAACCAGCTGCTTAACCAAAATACCGTTACTAAACCGATTGTCAGTTAGACTTCAAAACTGTACCGTTCTTGGTGGCTGCACGAGAGAGAAGCTCTGCAATGAGGTATTGAGCAGGATCCCCTTCAGGAACGTTTTCGATGAACCAAGTCACGTGAGCAACAACCTCTTCGTTGCTGAAGTATTCATACAATCCATCCGAGGATAAAACCATGAAACGATCGCTTGAAGTGAGTCTGTGATGGACGGTACACGGTTCACAGGTGATGTATGGATCTGTTCCAATGTACTCTACTTGGAACATCTCTAGCAAAGCTTCATTGAAATTCGGCTGCAAATAACATTTGAAATATTCTTAAGATGAGTTAGTCTAAATGTGGTTTGGTTATGAAAGTTTGTTTGTAGCATTGTATGTGTGTACTACCTTTTTGAGAAATCCGGCACCAAAAGCTCGAGTGACTTTTAGTTGGCCTTTGACTCTATCTTTGAGTATGGACTGGTCATCTTCCGGATGTTCAGATCTAATCCGCGAAATTTCCTGAAACAAATTAAAGAAACTTGTTTTTTGGAAAACCAGAGCCAAAGTCTTGCACTTTCACTGCTATT